TCTTTTCTTTAACTGACTCCTTTAAAAAGCTCTGGAAAACAAACACAGAGGGAAAAAATGAAAATATGTTAAAATAAGGAATAAAGCAGTTACTGAAGTGTAATAATCTCGGTTTATAGCACACTTTCCATTTAAATTGGTTTTATTAGAGATAAACCTGTTAAGCGTTGAGGAATTAAGTGCTGAATAGAGAAGGTTGTTTCGTTGCTGAATAAATGAAGGATCCCAGTATGCAGAAAAGAGTGCGACTTGATTTTACAAGTGAATAATTTGCCAGTTTGAAGGGCTCTGGTTACTTTGGCATCTGTTATAAAAATGATGATTTGCTTGTTGTCAAGAGGGATACTGTTTTTTTCAGAGGGGCAAGAGAGGTTTTAGCACTGGGGTTTGTAGGCACTTTGGGCTTTCTCATTCTCCTTACTCCTGGTTTGCTAGAAGGAGCTCAAGGAGAAAATGAGGCAGAGAGATTTTTGGGAACTTCTTGGCACTGCTAGTGAGACACAGACTTCTGTCATGCAGCGCTTTGGGACAATATTGAGAGGGACCAGCCTGCGACTTCAAGTAGCAAAAGTCAGTAATGGTGTGAAACTCTCTTCATTTGGGAGGGCTGGGGGCAGAGAAAAATTCAATAGACCGCAAAGTCTCAGCATCATCTTTCAGACAGCTGGTCCTGGAAAATTTCACTGAAAGACTGCAAATTGGAAGTCCCCACAATCGCTCTGTCGATTCTTGAGCAAAGGTGACTTTGGAAATTTGTGACAGCAGAGGAAGGTCTTGTTTTATTCACTCGACAGAAGTGAAATACAAGGGGAAGGGAGAAAGAACAGATCTGTGCGGAAAATGTCACTTGGGCTGTAACCTGAGCCTTAGCGAGCTGTGCCTTTCGGAGGGTTTGGTGACCCTCTGAAAATCCTTGCTCTCTGGCTGCTATTATTGTAGCCAATTTCCAACTAAAATAAGTCTTTTGTCATCACCAGCCATGCAGCCTCTTGCTGAGAAGAAACAAAACTTGTGCGTGGCAGCGAGGGCGGCCAAGCTGAAGGTCAGAGTGCAGAGGCAGATTGCTGCATCCCCGGGGCTGGGGCTGGAGCTCACCCGTGGGACCGGCGATGCACCAACAGGGGAGTCTGCCAGTGACCTCTGGAGACAGACCCCAGACAAGAAGCCTAAGAGAAAACATCCTAGTAAAATGCAAATGGGAGAAAAGAGGGTTTCCTCCTCCTCCTCCTCTTTAGGCTTATGCAGGTGGAGTTGCTGGGTTTTTTTCTTGCTTTTTGGTATGCGGCAGAAAGCGCAATCCCATGTGTCCAAATAGGACAAGGAAAACTTAAATTGAAAAAAAATAGTAAATACCCTAAACTTTTGTGTTTGCCCAACTGTTCAAATGTTTTCTCCACGCCAGATCCTTCCTCTTGCAAAACAAAAAAGGAAAGAAAAAAGAGCTTGTAGAAAGGAACCCAAATCACTTTGAAACGTTCTCAGCTCTCCTTGGGCTGGGAGGTGGGTACAACTTGTACACTGAGGGATCTTGTGTTGTCTGTGCCACTACTCTTTTGAGGCAGAAAACCCAAAACAAAAAAACCCCTTCTTCATCAGAGCAAAGGTACCAATGCATAGAGCCACTGGTATGGGGAAAAATACCTTATACAAGTTTTTGAGCCTGACTTGGTCTTTGTGCACATGAGTAAGGTTATGCGTCTGTCTTAAGTTTTATTCTGAGTTGTATTTTGATAATACTCCATTTCAGTAGCATTTAGTATGCAAATATCTTTTTTAGGTCCCGATTCCTCTGAACTTTTAAAAATTAGAGTGACTTAGGGTTTCTTCTCTTAAGATAGGTGAATATGAACATTTGGGAAAAGGGACAGGGAGATTTTTCCTGTTAGCTTTTCTATTCCGTCATTTTTGCTGATGTTAACATCAGCCTGGCACCCTGGGAATTCAAAGAGTGATCAAAAGATCCTGGCCCTTTTCTCAAAGCAAAAAAAAAAAAAAAAACAACCCAGAATATAAAGAAATTAACCCCATGTCCATGTATTTCTGCAGCAGCAGCTAATTCGCAGTTTTGCTTGCAAAGAGTTCTCAAATGTGATTTATAAACATAGTAGCACTGCATTGTGCTCTCTCAGGGCAAGCCACATTAATAGTTTTAATCTGATGGGTTCTTAGGAATTCCAGGTTTAGGATGCAGGAAGAAACTTGAAAGTGAATACTTTCTTCTTTATTTTTCTTTTTTCTTTTTCTTTTTTTTTTTTTTTTTTTTTAATGCATAGTGGTTTGGAGTCTACTATAATGCAAAGTAAAGCGTTGTGTTACAAAGGCAGGGAGGATGGGACAGAAGGTTAAAGGGCATCCTGGAAACAAACAGCTGGACCAGTTTATTTAAACAGATACAAGGATGGGGAGCTGACCTCCGTTTGACTTCTAGTGGGAGGAGCGAGAATGTCATTTTATTACTTTGCCCAGAAGGAAAATGTTCTTGCGTCTGAATTCCCCCCGAAGACATCCAAACACTGGGCTGTTTGGCAGAATTGCTACTTATAGAAAATACTTACATGAATGCGTAGGAAGAAGATAACTGTTAAGTACCTGTGTGTAAAACGTTCCTAAAGCAGATATCCCAAGCGATAGCATGGGGCAAACGGGTGAGAATATGTTTTACCGTAGGCACGTCTGGCGGATAATTATTGGTAAACTCTAGATATATAGTTTATTCTGGTATATTAGTGTATATACTATGTATAGTATAGTTTATTATCTTCAGATCCCCCCCCTTCTTCTTAAAAGTGCTTGTAGTTTGGCAGAGAAGGAGGAGAAGGTCTTGAAGTTGGGGTGTGCGTGCTTGATGTTGCTCAGCATTTCTTTGGGGTCAAAGCTGTTGAAAAAATGAAGGTTTTGGTGACCAGTCACTCTCATGGCTACCAAAAATCCTTCCCCTTTTCCACAGTACCAAGTCCTGGGAATGCGGCAGGAGAAGGATGGAGTAAACACAGCAAGAGCCTTGCCAGACTTGCAAAAAGAAGTGGCTGAGGCACTAGGGTTCTGTGTTGTTGTTTTACTTTGAAGAGTTACTGTGAAAATTGCTTTCTGCAAATGCAGATTACAGATATTAAACAATTTTCCAATTGGTCATGGAGCTAAGGCAGCTAATGGGGGAAAAAAAGCAGATTTCTTTTAATTGCTTATTTCACATGGTGTTTGTGCTACACCTGTGCTTATAATGAGAAAGGAAAATTAGTCTAACCTTCTGCTCACATGATTTTAATTTTCATGGTTTGTACAAGATAATGATAAACTGATTTGCAACACTGTTTGCTGGCATTGAGGGTGGTGTTTATTGGAAATGTGTAGAAAAATTGATCCAATACTGTTGCTGACAAAACATGACCTAGTTCAGGTGTAAGGTTTCCAGACTGGCACCCAGATTTGGTGCCTTTGAGCCCGTTTCCTCAAGACAAGGGGTTTGATAAGGACTCACCATCTTGATTAATTTTTGCAGGACTTTGAGTATTGGGTGTCAGTGGGGAATGGGAGATAGGAGGAGTCCGAAATCGCTGTGCTGGTCTTTGATGAGGGCAAAAGAAACAGCATGGGGCAGTGGTTTGCTATTCTTCTCCCCTCTGGTGTAGGGGAATGGGTGGGCAGAGCTGATTCCCGCGGAAAGATCCTGGTGGCTTTATCTCTGTGGTAGGAGAGCTCCTGCTAAGCCACCTCAAGCAAAGGCAATGAAAACAAGTATCAAGTATTCCTTTGTGAAGTTTCCCATCCCAGTTTACGAGTGTGGTGCAGTTTAGCCAATGCTCACGCATCTTCCTTTACTAGTAAATGTTGTGGCGTACACATTTTTATTATTCTTTTTGTCTCTCCTAAAGAATGAAAAGTCCAGTTATGCAACTTTGCTGTGATCAGATCTCTGTGAAGATTTTTTTTCCAAATGGATTTTAACTAAACTTTCTGATGAGTGAAATCTCAAGAGAGGTTCTTCAAATGCTCTTCATTCAGATAGGTTCCCAGCCATGATGTCCAGCCTCCTGACTTCAGAGCCACAAGGAGACTGGGGCACTTGTGATCTCTCTCCTTCTTCTGTTTTGCTCCAAATTATTTTGAATATTTCCAAATAAGCATTGCATGACTAACTGAGGCGAAGAACTACAGAAACACAAGGAGTAGGGTTGCAGATTGCTATTTTTAAAAATGACCGTACCTTCTTTTTTTTATTATTTCCAAAGATCTGCTTTTCATTGTTCGGGGGGGAATTTTCAGTATTCCAGTAATTACAGTTTAACAAGATGTTTGCTGTAAATGGTCAGGCCTAGCTGGAGAAAACAGGATTATAAATTCAATTACTGTAAAGCTATGACCTCGCCTTGACCCCCTCAGACTTTGCATAAAGAGAGGGAGGGGGGAAAAAGCCCACCAAGAAATGGCTAGGAGGAATGCATGGCTCTGAAGTCCCCAGCAGTGTGACTTAGTGGTGATAAAAGTCCAGACGTTCCCTCATTTGATGGGGTTCTGCCATCACAGTTCATTATCTTAATAGTGGGCATTAAAAGGGAATTAGGTTTGCAAGAGGTAGGGGCAGGTTTTGATAAAGAAAAAAACTGGAAAAAGAAGTCAGAGGACATAAGGCAGAAATGACACTAATGAGGGGGGAGGTAGCAGATGCCCTCACGAACATCTCGCTTCACACGTTTTTGTTTTTTCGGTGCCCCATTCTGTATTGAGAAGAGCGTTGCTGGTATTGTTTCCTGAAAACTCGGCTAATTCCCCCATGAAAAGATGAAATGGAAGTGTCCAACTGTGGTAAAAAGCAGGCAAACATAAATCAGCTTGGAAACCCCAAGCTCGTGCTCTCAAAGGTCATGAGGGTTAGAGGTTTAGCAGTGTTTGCATCCCCATGCAGCTCGATGGAGAGCGCCACAACAAGGGCAAGAGGGCTTGGGGATGGGTGGAAGACATCCCTTCCCTAACCATTTGCTTTCCTTTTTTTTTTCTTGCAGGTTTATTAATGCTAGAAGAAGAATAGTTCAGCCCATGATAGACCAGTCCAATCGAGCAGGCAAGTCCCCAATAGTAACTGTATTCAAGTCACGCAGGCGAAAACCATCCTCAAGCCATTCACGGGGAGGTCCATTACCTGGTAAATAAATGAGAAATGAATGCTGGGAGTGATTGACAATTAAAATACAACCAGCTTTCTTTCATTACGACTCTAATCATTTTAACATGATTAAAAACATTCGGGGGAAAAAAAAGACACTGAAAATTCAAAACGAAAAACTAAAATGATCCGCTCCATGACCGGACTTTCTGTACATGATCCCAATTATTCTTATTTTTTTTAGCAGTTGTTTGGAGTTTTCCTTTTACCAGCTCTTTCTGCTCCTGTGACCACTCCCTGGTGCATGGCTTGGTGTGGAATTGCTGTAAACTTTATTACCTGTCAAAAGGGCAAAGGGGTCAGAATCGCTTGTGGGACTCAGTAAAGTTCAAAGACATTCAATGAGGTAGAGCTTTATGTGCTTTAATAACCCAAGGCAGCTTACTTCTGAAGCCGGCTTTTAATGTACAGTCAAAACCTCCAGTTCAGGTAGTGGTACTTGTACAGGGTTCTTTTGTCCCTTGGCTCTTCTTTTTAGTAGCTGTCTTTTGGGATTGCTGAGAATTTGCTGTTTACTTTGGGGGGATTTATTTCTACTTCTTTAAAAGACCTTAAGTTTCCACATGCTGGTTCTGTCTGGGGTCCTGGCTCGCAGCTCTGTGCGGGTATTTACCATCAAGGATTACCAGAGCCCGTTAGTCCCAGTTGGTTTTGTTTTCCAAGTCTTGCTGTCAAACTCTCCAAATACATTGTTGTCCAAGATGCCTTTGGACCACACTTCCTCTTCAAGTACATTTGATTATTTGTCATTAGAGGTAAATATCTGGCATGGACATGTTCAGATCCTACTCTTAGAAGGCACAGGGGCGTAATTTAACACACTGTGATTTCAGTGTGACTATTCCAGCCATAAAATCCGGCTCCTATACAGGTTTTTGCATTGACGTCAGCAGCGGCAGCAGCTGGAGCCCGGGCTCCTCACGTCTCAAGATTTCAGTTTGCAAACTTCATTTCCAAACTTGCAGAAGGAGATTAAGCCAAAACTTAAGCGTGCTTGTTAGGCCGGCGCTAAATTCGCACAGTAGATATTTTTCCCTCTCTTTTGAGCCAACAATGATAGCCCGCGGGTAGGGGGGGTTGCGTCTCGATGCCGTGAGAAGAGATGACCCTCTTGGCTGCTGCTAAAAAGCAATGTTCTGCACTTTTCCAGTAAGTCAAGGAACACCCTATAACCCCGACGGGCAGCCGATGGGAGGTTTCGTGATGGACGGCCAGCAGCACATGGGCATCCGAGCACCAGGTAAGCCCTGGGGGAGCGTCACCCACCTATGGGTGGCCTCGGTCGCGCCACTGCAGGTAAACACACCTCCGCCCTCCGCTGCCGTCCCAGCTGCCTGCCTTGCCTCACCTGTCTTCTGCCTGCCTTCCACACCGCCGAGGGAAACCAGGCACCTCCGTGCTCGAGCGGTCCTGGACCCTCTGCCGGTGCTGTGTTTTGGAAAGGGGCTTTTGGCACTATCTGTTGACTTTGCTCATTTTCTGGCATCTTCTTGGATTTTTATCTCCCTCTAGGACCTATGAGTGGAATGGGCATGAATATGGGCATGGAGGGGCAGTGGCACTACATGTAACCTTCACCTAGGTAACCAATGGCAAAGCCAGGGGGAAGTAAGTACAAACGAGGTCTTTGTTCTCACTTTGTCCGAGGGATATTTGTCTTCTTGCATTTCCCTATGTTCTCCCTGCCCATAGCCTCATGCTTGTTCCTTCCTTTCCATCCATCCATCCTACGCCTGGGCTCCTTCGGGTTTTCTCTCCCTCTGGTTCAGCTCAAGCTTTCCAAGCTCCCAAAACCCCCCGTGCGCGCGCGCGCCGTACGCTGACGCTGCCGTACATCGACGCCGCCATACATTGATGCTATTATCCATCCCCGAGCACATGACAAAACAAGGAGCAGCCGGGGAGGTGGGGGAGCCCGTCGTCTTGGCAACAGACTGATTTGCAAAATGTAAGCGGTCTGCAGCAGCGCAGGGAGAGGAAAGAGCATGTCCCCAAAGTGTCATAAATCTGTCTAACCGCAGTTGATGCATGAGTTACATTTCTCCCGCTAACCTGCAAGACACCAAAAAAGCCAAGCGGAGACTTCTCGTAGGGTAGGAAAAAAGAAACACACCAAACGAAAAAACGGCAGCTTCACTTAGTTGCGTTTTGGAAGGCGATGGACAAAACTTTGATTTCTTTTTTTTTTTTTTTTTTTCAAGTTTATTTCTCTTTGTCTGTCCGTCATAATGGGATTACGTGTGGCAAAGGAAAAAGAGAGAATACAAAATAGAGGTGTGCGCAGCAGGCTATGGAGCTTAGCCCAGGCTAATTGACTATATCCAAATTAAGTATGCCATCACTTGCAGTGTGACAAATGGATTTGACTTATTCAGTATACAAAAATAGAGATCATTAATGCAATCTTCAGTGGCAGGCCTCGCGAAGAAAGCCTAGAAAAACTGTCCCAGTTTTTTTTTTCCCCTCTTGTCTTTTATAGGGGAAAATACATTATACGAATTTCTGTATTTTCTTTTTTTTTAAGAGTAAAGTGGTTTGAAACACCAAGACACCGATACCATGTTTAAATGGTGCATGATTCTGTTCCTCTTCCTCTTTTCTGGAGTTGAAAGAGTTATTTCAGCATTTTTGTTGTGCCCCCAGCCTATATTAACATAGGGTTTGAAGTTACCCAGGGCAAGTGTATTTCGTAGTACTCTTCTCTGGGCCCAAGTCAAAACTAAGTTTTAACAATTAGCTGTGAAAACATTCCTCTGAGCTTGGGAATGCAACAGCCTTATTACCTCATCATGAAAATTTCTAGCTTAGTTAATTTAAATATTGTTTCTTAGTTTCTGGGTCAATTAAATTTAAATGATGTATTTTATGCTTCGTGACCAATTAAATTAATAGGTTATTACAAAAAATATTATCATCTTTTTTGATTAAAGAGCTGTGAGTACAGTATATTTTATAAGCAATTTTCATTAGTTCAAAACTGTTCCTTTAGGCTAGATTAAGCAGCTATTCATTGCTAGAGCCTTGAGACCTGATTCCAAGGTGTTCGGCGCATTCACAGCGCGCTCTTACTTAGAACTAAAGCCAATTGAACCTACTTAGCAATAGCGTATGCCTTTCACCCTTGATGATTATGGAGCTTATAGCTCTCCGAAACAATACACCTGTCAGTTCCCATCAGCTACAGCAATCCAAGCAGAAGGCAGAGGCCCACAGAAAGCAGGAGGTTTTATTGTTTTAGGTCCAATTTTTTTTCTTATTGTTCTCCCAAACCCACTGAAAGGTTTGACTGAGTTGCGCGTCTGATTTTTTTTTTTTTTTTTTTTTTTTTTTGTGGCCAGAGGTGAGCAGGGGGGAAAGAATTAATTGATAACTGTTATTGATTATATATATATTTTTTTAATGTGTTTAAAAATACGGGTTTGGTTTAACAGTTGTGCTTAGTAATCCTATCAATTTCGGCTTCATACAAGGCCTTTGTTCAGCAACGTATGTTCTTGTTGTATAGCATCTACTTGAATGGCACAAATACTTGGGAGAGATTCCAAGTGATCAGGCTCAAGAGCTAAATAAATAGCTGTTGATAAACCTTGACACCTATTTAACCCATCTCTCCTCCTGAGCCCCTCATTAACGACAACGAATTCCCTGCCCTGTATTCCCAGCATGCTTTTACAAGTGGGGAGACGAAGGCAGGTGGCTGGAGTAAGGTCATGGGGAATGGAGCCCACCTGAGAGCCCTCACAGGGCTTGGTACCACCACTTCTTGTGACTTTAGTTATCTTCAGGCTGGCTCTGCCTCTCGCGTGCTTCCAGATCAGAAACATCTCCATTGCATATGCTCCTAACTAGAAAAGGAGAAAGCGGTTTTATTTCCAAAAACTCTGTATTTGGAGGGGAGAAGAGGTTCTTGGGGGGCTTCTTTTTGACCTGGGAATCGTTCCTGTTGCCTTCATTGTGAGTCCATACATAGACTCTGATTCCACAAAGGCAACTTGCGCTCGCGTATCCGTGACTCTGCATCCCTCCTTGGGCTCAATCCCGGCCTTCTGTGCCCGAGCAGATGAGCTTCGCGGCCCAATGTCGGCAGCCAGTCCCCACCACTCACCACCACCTCTTTCTCTCCGCAGGGCTGCAAAGTATGCCAGGGGATTATGTGTCTCGGGGTAGTCCAATGGGTATGAATATGGGACAGCCAAGCTATACCCCGCCCCAGATGCCCCCCCATCCTGCTCAGCTGCGTCATGGCCCCCCCATGCATACCTACATTCCTGGACACCCTCACCACCCAGCGATGATGATGCATGGAGGACCACCCCACCCTGGAATGCCCATGTCAGCATCAAGCCCCACAATGCTTCATACCGGCGAGCCAGCAGTGAGCGGACAAGTGATGGACATTCATGCTCAGTAGCTTAAGGGAAACACACGTTGTCTGCAGCGATGGTAGATTTCAAACATTGTCTTTCTGCAATGACTATGGAGTTCTTGGTGTCAACTTTGGACCAAGGGACGTTCCAGTTCTTCACAGGGACCCTGAAAAGCAGGAAAACACCAACCGAAGTCAACTTCTGGGGACATGCTAAATACCTATATAAGACATTAAGAGAACAAAGAGTGAAATATTGTAAAATGCTATTATACTGTTATCCATATTACGTTGTTTCTTATAGATTTTTTAAAAAAAATGTGAAATTTTTCCACACTATGTGTGTTGTTTCCATAGCTCTTCACTTCCTCCAGAAGCCTCCTTACATTAAAAAAGAAGCCTTACACTTATCCTGCAAATGACAGAAAGGGCTTATTTGCAGGATTTTTAGAGCATTAAAATAACTATGTCAGGCAGAAGAATCTTTCTTCTATCCTAGGATTTCAGCCATGCACACTCTCTCTCTCCCCCCTCTCTCCTCCTCTCTCTCTGTCTGTCTTTCTTCCCTTTCTCTCCCTTTCTCCCCATCTCTCTCCCTCTCTCTCTTTCTAGCCTGGGGCGTGAATTTGCATGTCTAATTCATTTACTCACCATATTTGAATTGGCCTGAACAGATGTAAATCGGGAAGGATGGGAAAAACTGCAGTCATCAACAATGATTAATCAGCTGTTGCAGGCAGTGTCTTAAGGAGACTGGTAGGAGGAAGCATGGAAACGGAAAGGCAGTGTATTTGAAGCCTAATTGTCACATCAGAGCATCCTTGTCCCCATGCAGCAACCACCACCTTGTACATCACTTCCTGTTTTATGCAGCTCGAAACATGGACTGAAGATTTATTTTTAATATGTTGACTTTCTTTCTGGGCAAGACATCGGTCATGTGTGCATTTTTTTTTCCATAGTCCCATCATGGAGCATTTATGTATACATTGTAAATAAATTTTGTGCAAAAAGGACTGGAAAAATGATCTGTATTATTGCAATTTTTTGTAAAAGTAGCAGTTTGGTATGAGTTGGCATGCATACAGATTTACTAAGTGGGATAAGCTAATTATACTTTTGTTGTGGTTAAACAAATGCTTGTTGATAGCCTTTTTCTATCAAGAAACCAAGGAGCTAATTATTATTAATAATAATCATTGCACACTGAGTCTTAGAGTTTCTGATTGAAACAGTTTGGATTGTATAATAACTCAAAGCCCAGTTGTAGTAGTTTGAGTGCAGTAATGAAATCTGAATCTAAAATAAAAACAAATTATTTTTTGTCATGGTGACTCCACTGCTTGCAAAATTTGTTTCCTGTCCCCATGCAGTATTTGTAGCCATTCTATCCCAAATTGGGAACCGAGCAGCTACAAAATTCAGCTGGCTCTGGAGATGTTATCTATCATTTGCTATTTAAATATCAGCTTCATATTTAAAGAATGTAAAAATAATGCTACCCTCAGTAAAGAAACTTTCTTGGAACTTGCACTGTAAATTTTCAGGATGGGAACTGTTGCCTGTTAATAAATGTAATATCGTAGGGCATTATTGGACAGAAATTTGTAAACAGTATTACCCTCCCTGCCCTCCAAATTCTAGTTCTAATACACAGTTTAAATTATTGAGTTTCTTTCTGGAACTGAGCATACTAAGGAAGGAGGAAAATAAAACTTGGGAAACATTGCCTGGGCAAGGCATGTCTGTAAGGGCATGAGGTGCTGCTGGACCCCTGCAAGCAAGGCCAGTGCAGGCTCTCCTCTCCTCTCCTCATTAACCAATTTCCTCACACATTTGTACTTTTTCTGCACCGCAGCCAGCGAGTAAAACAGTCCCAGCCAGCCTGGGCAGGCTGCGGCTGGAAGACCTTCTCATTTGCTTTAAATCAAATCGCAGCTATAGGAGAAAAAAATCGAGTTTCCCGAGGCTAGGAAAAGGACACAAATATCTTAATTAAGGCAAAATCATGCAACGGCCCCCCCCCCCCCTTCCCCCAAGCCAGCCGGCATCCCCGGCGGGAGGTGTCCCGGAGGTGTTTTGGGACAGTCTCCCGGCGGGGCCCTCCTGCTCTGCGTGTCCCCTGGGTACCCCCGGGCTGGGCAGGGGGCAGGCGGGGGTGCAGGCAGAGGTGCAGGCAGGCGGTGCAGACCTTTCTCAGTGAAGCAAACCACCAAAGTGGGGTCCTCTCTCCCCACGGCTTGGACCTCCTCCCCCTCTTTTTTTTTTTTTTTTTTTTTTAACCCTGAGTGTTCTTTTTTTTTTTTTTCTCCTCCTTTTCCCCCTTGTATTTTTAAAGGGCCGCAGTGCCGCCAAGGAGGCTGCACATCCCGACTCCCTCTTTGTGAGCCCGGAGTAATGACACTTTTCTGCCAAAACGTGAATGAACGAGGCTCACTTTTTGCTTTTTTTTTAGGTTTTTTTTTTTTTCCTTCTTTTTTTTTTTTTTTGCTTTGTTTTGTTTGTTTTGTTGTACTGTGTTTGGATGTTTTTTTAATGTTTCTTGAAAGACAAAAACAAACCGCCCTCTCGCAGGAGAGGGCACACGCGTCCCTTCTCCTCGCGGCCGCAGCGAAGTGGGGCACAGACCTTCCTCCGTGGGACTTTATTTTTTGGGGAGGGGGGACCCATTTCAAATTAAACCCACTATTACATCCCAAGACGTTTAATCAGCTGTAATTATAACACATTCAAAATGAAGAATATGCCCTGACAGTATTTTTATTGTTATTGTTCATCGCATGATGTTAGACAGCTTCAGAGGCACAGGAAAGAGAAGTAAACGGGTTACAAATAGGGAATTATCCCTCGTTTAGCATTAAAATTCATTTAGATAAAATTGCCACAAACATTTAAATGGGGAGATTAGTTCCCCCTCACGCCTTATTGCACTCTCTCAATGGCTCCGTTAAGAACATTTTACACGTTGGAAATTCCGCCTTTTCGGGCCGCTCGCTGTTTCCTAGCTACCCTCCTTTCACCGCACCGGGGGGGCCCGGAGGGGCCCGGGGAAGGCCTCCCGGCTGCGCCTCCGCGCCTCACCCCGGCCCGGGGGCTGCGCGGGGGCTGCGCGGGGGCGCAGTGCGGGAGCGGGGGGGAGCGGATCGCCCCGCTGTCCTGCCGCTGCCCGCTGCCCGCCGCCCAGGAGCAGGAGGAGCAGGAGCAGGAGGAGGAGGAGGAGGAGGAGGAGGAGGAAAGCCGTCTTCGACTGCCATCTCTTGGGGGCTCGGGAGAGTGACGCGGGGGGGGGGAGATGTGCGGGGTGCTCCGGGGCCGCCCGCGCAGCGCCGCGGGCGTTGCGCGTTGGCGGACCAAAGTTTGCGCAACCCTCCGTGAGGCTCTATTTCTCCTATTTCTCCCTCCTGTTTTTTGTGATTTTTTTTTCATTTTTTGGTTTTGTTTTTTTGGTGGTTTTTTTTTTTTTTTTTTTTTTTTTGGGGGGGGGTGGTTTTGGTTAGGTTGTTGCCTTTTTTTTTTTTTTTTTTTTTTTAATCGGCCCCGATTTCCCGCGTCCCCCTTCTCTTTTTGTGCCAAACGTCCCCCCATCGGCCCTCCCGCACCCCCGGGCGCAGTGTCCCGCGGAGCCAATACCTCCCCCTGTCCAGAGGCGGACGAGGGGCCAGACCCCTCAGCGCGGTAGTTGCACGGGGCCTGCCCTGTGTCTGGGCTGGGCACCCGCACCCCACGAGGGTTTTTTGCGGGGGGACAACAAATTCCAGCCAGGAGGACCGCGCCCCCCTCCAGGCAGAGGGACTCGCGGGAGGCGGCGGAGGCGGTGCCTGCCCTGCCGTGCCTCTATCAGCCACAGGTACTTTCGGGCTCAGAATCGGCACTTTTCGGCCACGCGGTGAATATTTCCACCCCCGGCTCTGGTGCGCAGGAAGTCCCCCCGCTACCCGGGGCCTCGCTCCCCGCGTCCTGAACCTGCGTGGAAAACAGCAGAGCATTTACCCGCTCCCCTGACCTTGCTGTGCCGCCCGGGATGAATACATATATACATATATAATTATATATTTATATCCATATAAAAGCGAAGGAACGCTTCCCGAGGGCCAGGAGGAGGCGGCTGCCCCCGGCCGCGGGCAGGGGCGGGCGGTGCGGGGGCGATCGCGGGTGGGGTGGGTGGGCGCTCCCGGTGCCGCCTGGAGGTGGCTGCTCAGCTCCGGGCCGGGCTGGTGCTTTTTGTGTGACAGCCAGTAAACCTTCCCCGTCCCTTTAATGCGTGTGGAAATACCCGCATGCCTGTGTGGCAGCTGCTTCCAAAGCCCCAACTAACTCTTTTGGAAGAGCAGGGCGAAAAGAGTGAAAGGCGAAAGAAAGACTGTTCATTTTTTTTCCTTTGGTGCCATTTTGGATGTCATCTGTTACCTTGGTGACTGTGCTCAGCCCCCAAAGCCCCTGGATTGTTAGGGAGGGAAAAAAAAAAAAAAGCATGCTATTTCTGCACCGTCATTTATCACTGTCACCGCATAATGATTCCCCTCGCAGCTCCTTATTGATGTTTGTAATTGCATTATCTCATAAAGGGAGGGGGTGGCGGGCCGGGATGATCAATGGAGCCGCGCCGTGCATGCCGGGGTCAGGGGCTGCGGGAGGCGGCGGGGCCCCCCCGGACCCTCCCGGCCGCGGACCCCCCCCGGCCCCGCTCCCCGCCTGGCAGACAACAAGTCCCGGGCACCGCCCGGAGCGCGGCCCCGGCAGCCGGCGGGCAGGGCCAGGGCAGCTCCCGGCGGGGCCGTCCTGCTGGGACCCCCCAGTTTGGGGAGAGGGACTGAGGGAGGGGAAAAAAAAAACCCAACTCCCCCCAAAAGAGGGCTTCAGCAAGGGAAAAAATTAAAGTGGGTTTAATGTGAATTGGCTGGGGAAAAAAAAAAAACATTCGGTGAATTCCACCCCCCAATTCTAAAGAGTTTGGCCGGTACCTGCCTGGAGGGCGGCGGTGCGGGGGTGCTGTGGCGGGGGCTCTTCGGAGCGGGACCCTTCCCCGCAGCATCCCCTTGACCGCGGGGGATCCGCGGGGCCCCGCGGCGCGGAGCGGCGGCCGCACCGGGGGAAGGTCCGGCGGCGGGGAGCGCTGCCGGAGACACCGGGGACCTGGGGAGGGGGGCACAGGACAGGGCTGGGCCCCCTCGGCGAGGAGGAGGGCGCAGAAATGCGGCTCGTTTCCCGCATTTAGTTGGGTTTTTTTACCGGTTTCTTTTCGCCGAGCGCTTTATAGAGAGGGCAGCGCTGCGGAAAAAACCCAAACCGGAGGAGCCCACGTTTTTTCTTTCCCCCCTCTTCCTTCTCTCTCCCTTAGCTCTTTAAGGATTACCAACGAAGTAAAGATTAACTCCTTTTCCCCCCTCCTCGCAGCAACAAATGAACTCCATCCGCTGCGCCCGAAAGTTAAAAGAATTATTTTCCAGCCTCTTCCCCAGAGGATGAGCCAGTGCACCCCATAACCCGGGACTTGAGGGGACCAAAGCCGAGCCCGTGGGAGCCGGGAGAGAAAGATGCTGAATTTCCCACAGCCACCCTAGGCAGCCCCGGAGCCCCCCTTTGAGACGCAGCGCTAAACCGAGGGGAGAGCAAATCTCTCCGGCTCGTCCTTCCCCGCATTGATCACCTCTCTCCCCAGGTTTCCCCCTCTTCAGTCATCCCTTGGAAATTTAGCAACGCTTTAGTTTGAAGGTAATACAGCCTAAGTGTTACTGTTCTTTCCCCTGTATATATAAATATATATATATATATAGGGAAAAGAACATATATATGTAAATATATTTTTCCATATTTCCTCCAGGAATGAGGGTTGGCGCTACCGTTAGCCTTGTAAAGAAACGCCGGTTGTCTGCTTTCACATAAACATTCATGATTCCAAATAAACTTTATAAGGATTTCAATTGGAAAGGTAAGCAGTCGGCAGTGCGAAGACATTGCACTTGAAATTTCAAATGTGAACTAATCCAACTTAGCTATATTTTCCTCCTTTTCTGGTCTGATAGTTTGCAATCTGGAGTTCCATACTTATAAAAAAATATTTAGTGCCATAGCTCACGGTTAAAATAGTGAAAAATTAGTCTCGTTTCAGAAATTATTTATTTATAGAACGAACATGATTAAAACATAAAAAACACACAAACTGCAGCTGCAACAAAAAAACCCCACCGTGATTTACGATTATTAAATCTTTGATTGCCATGTTAATGTTTCTTTTTCTACCTTTCATTTGCATTTTAATCTATCGAATCTTTACAATTTTGCTGCCTCCTACTCGAATGATTGATTACACATCTGAAAGAGGGAAAAA